TGAATGGATCGGAGTTTGAGATGTGGTACTATACCCCAAACCCTTAAAAATTAAAATCTAGATCTTAATTCTATAAATCACACATACTAAGATCAATTTAATTCAAAACAATAATCGAAGGTCATGTTTCGTCGAAATGCTTCCAACAAATTATGTGTTTCATCTTGGTGTTTGGGAAAGGATTTAAAACTCTTACTGTACCGGGGGGTTCGACAGGAAAACCTCCTACCGGATGCTAAATCGTTAGGCGCTCTTTAGTGGTACAAAACGATAATACCAAGATTAAACCATAGTTTCAGCATAAAATACTCTACCGCTGACTTTTTCAGTACCACCTCCGATAAGGTTTTCCAATCCTTGGTTTAGAGTCTATGATTTAAATAGTTAAGACCTAGGGTTCACTCGTCAAGGATTTGGGTATAGTATCATGCCCAATGGTTAATCGTATATCTAAACCGGTTTCCGACCATTAACTCTTAACTCGTTTTATTGATTGGGCCAATAACTTCAATCGAGTTGGCCACCTTGAAAATGAGTTAAATTAATATCTTACACCAATGATTAATAATAATATATCTGAAGTGTGTGGATTTGCGGTTACTTTAATTCAACTCGTGACTCATTAGTTGAGTGATTAAAATGCTCGAGTTGAAATGTTGATTGTGTATGGTGAACTTCATCAACCAAATTTGTTATAATAAAGACCGAAGTGAAGTTTAAAATATAATATGAAATTCCTTTAGGAACCCAAAGAAATAATAATAAAAGACAAATGAAAAGCATCAGTTTGCACCTAATAAGAGTGAAACTTATATCCAAGATCAATGGTTAATTCTATATAAAAAAAATAAATGGTTAACTATATGAGTGAATTAAACCTGCAAACTTCACTTTGCCTACAGCCGAGGTTGAGGCCCATTTGAGGTTAAGGCCCAAGTCAGAGAGTCTCCTATGGAAGTAGGACGCAACTCGCAAGTGAACAGATTGAAACTATGCACTTCATTAAATTAGGGGTGAAAAGACGAAAATGTCATTCCGTGAAGCTCTCAGAAGACAGCTTTTTTGAATCTCTGCAATTTGAAGTCATGATTATGCTTCATAAATTTTATAGATATATATTGGTGTTATACTCGGCCTCCTGGGTGATGCTTCAAGGAGGTGGTTTTTAACTTTGTCGGCGGACCTTTGTTTATTTAGTTTTGCAGAGTTCCGTTCCCTTGCTTCCGCGTTTGGACACTTCCTCAGATGGTTTTTCAAGGGATCGTTTCTTCGCATTCACAAATGGAAGCAACCAAATTGGGTCATCACTCTCATTCAGGGTATTCATGGAAGAGTTCTATGGTGCACTATAGCCTCGCCGGCCACCTAGGATTATTAGTATTATTATTATTGGTCTTTCGTATTAATTATTGTTCCAGATATTCGGTTATTATAGGGTTGAGGCTTAAGACGTCGCCAACCGCGAACATGAAGTCGCTCTGGAGCACCTGCGTGTCGACGTTGGGCAATTGCAGCGCGGCCAAGAGAAATTGCATGATGGGCAAGACCGCCTATCGGAGGAGATCATCGTTATCCGTGTTAAGCAAGGACGATTGGCGAACGACGTCAGCTAGATCTAGGCGATCCTCCGCGACCCTCCATTGGAAAAGAAGACGACCAAGGCATCGAATGAGCGCAATCTCGACACTGAAAAGAGAGGTCACACTGTCAACCAGATTCCAATGGCGGAGAAGCTGAATGGAGTCGCCGTGGATGTAGAGTCCCTCTTCCCCGCGACACGGAGCATGACGCCAACGCCGGAGAAGCAGGGGGCGATTGGCGGGGCTTCGACGTGCAAGGTCGACGAGGAGGCGAGGCGAGAAGCGGCGCGAACGGGAGGAGCTGGCCAGGGGATCGGTCGCGGTATCCCAGTCGGAGCAGGCTGGGGTAACCTCGCCGTCAACGGCGAGGAGGAGCAGGTCGCTGCGCGAGAAGGAAGGCCGTCGATCGGGGTTTCTTCCGAGCCCAGCGGGCGTGGAAACCTTAACCTCATCCGCGAATTAAGCCCGAACATGGGTGGGCTTACATGGGCTATTCTCTACAGCGCTGGGCCGAGTTTGCAAGAGAACGGGCGTGGCCCGAACGGATCAACTGGGCCCGGGCTGGCAGCGCGAATGGGCCAGACACAAACTGCGGACAGGGTGCCTTGGTGGTGAGCGGGCCAGAGCAGTGGGCTAGAGGAGTAAGCTGCATAGGTGGCCCGAACGGGTCGGCTGCCTTCAACCCGGGATGGCTAGGCCTCTACGTCGGCGGCCCTAGCTGGGGGAATGGTGGGCCAACACTGCAAGGGTTGGCGGGCAATGCGACTTGGCCAACTAGGTCGTGTAGAGGAAATGGTCACAATCTGAAAGTGAGGGGCGTCGGTCCCTATACTGTTCACCTCGGAACGAGGAGGTGGCATTGGTGGATTGCTTGGACTAAAGACGGGGAAGAAGCGGAGCTGCCCTACGGTCTTACAACTAATGCGTTCAAAATCGGGATTTTGATCGTAAAATCGTAGGATTTTAGGATTTTACTTAGGGATTATCCTGATTTTACTTTAAAATCGGTGGACCTTAAAATCGTTTAAAATGGGGATTAAAATCGTAAAATCGTACAAAAATTGGGATTTTGATCGTATGAGAATAAAGTAGGTGGTTTGAGCCAATTTAAAAGAAGAATAACTGTTTCGATGCAAAGGGCAATGACAGGAAGCTTCTCAGATATTTTTCTAGTAAAACAATATTTAAAATAATAAAAATAACCAAATTATGGCTTTGTTAATCCATTTCCCTTCGCCCCATTTAACTTATTGGTAAAAGAATTGTCCTAATATGGGAAGTATGTAAGAATTAACATCATTATTAACTAATTAATTTATTAATGAATATATTTATACCAAGCCACTAGCATTACGTATTTTATTGGACTTCAATTCTTTTTAGTTTTAAATCATACTTAGTAGACGATGTCGGAATATTACTTTGAGTTAAACTACCTAGAAACAACATGAAAACAAGAGCCCAACCCCATGAGCTCTATCCCTTCATCATGAACTATTGTGAGTTACGCATTAAATAACAATTAAAATAGTAATTTTGGAACATTAATCTTGAGAATTATCTTCTGTAAAAAAAAATCTTGAGAATTATCTTTTTAAATGTTATGTGTCTTTGTGTTATTAATGATTTACCTTACTAATATTCTTATATGTTATGTTCTATATGGTAATTAAAATCCTACGATTTTACGATTCCGATTTTACTTCAGTTTTCTATTTTAGGTAAAATCCCGATTTTAACTACTTTGGTGTTATTAGTGATTTACGTTACTAATATTCTTATATGTTATGTTCTATATGGTACTTAAAATCCTAAGATTTACGATTCCGATTTTACTCTAGTTTTCGATTTTAGGTAAAATCCCTATTTAACTGCTATGGTTACAACAACGATTTGGCCCTACTCAACAACGCATACAGGTGTTCGAGCCGCAGGCAGCAACGATTAAGCGGGAGCAGTTCCCAGTGCAGCATATAGTCGAAGTTCCGAACATCTCTGACGACACCTTCTTGTCGTTGAGGTTCAAAACAAAGGCTCTGTCCACTTTATCACGATCTGCAGAACTGGAGGTTGAAGAATGAAGAGATTGATCGATGGTGGTTGCCGACTTTATCGCAAATAGAATCACAAATAGAATCTTATGACAAACAAATCAAATCCCAAAGGAGGCTAGGATGGTCCTTCTGCTAGTCGTGATCTCTTTGCAGATGTTTTAGTTATTGCCATTGTGCAAAATCCATGAAACACAGACAAATATCCAGTAAGTACAGAGTATATACAACTATTCAATATAATGCAAACAAATATCCAAACAGGGCGGACAAATATCCATGCTTAATATTATCAATATCTGGACAACATAGAACTAATATTATCAATATCCAAAGACAACGAACAAATATCCAGACAGGGCAGAGAAGTAATCTAAGTAATATCTGGAGAACATAGAACAAATATCCATACAGGGCAGAGAAATATCCAGACAGAGTAAAAAGATATTCAAACATCACATAACTAATATACATACAATCAATTACAGAAAAATATCCACATTATCAAAAAGTAGTATCTCAGGCTTGCTAACTCTTATCCACCATGAAACGAACTATTATTCCAGGAATCAGACATAACAAATATCAACATTAACCATATAGGGTAGAGAAATATCCAGACAGTAGACAGATATTCAAACATCACATAACTAATATCCAAACAATCAATTACAGAAAATATCCACATCATCAAAAACTAGTACCCAGACCTGCTAACTGTTATCCACCATGAAACGAACTATTATTCCACGAATCATACAATATCCCCCAAATCCAATCCCAGATCCCCATATATAATCTCAGATCCACAAATCGGATCCCAGAATCCTAGCCGCACAGAATCCCAGACCTAATCTCAATTTCGAGATCCCAGTCAAATAAAATCTCATATTCCCCAAATCGAATCCCAAATCCCAGCCGCACAGAATCTCATATTCCCCAAATCGAATCCCAGATCCTAGGCGCACAGAACCCTAGATCCCCCAAATCGAATCCATGAAACTATACAATCGAATTAATGAATAAGGAGAAAGGAAGACGCCTACCTGAACAACCTTCTTCTACTCGCAGCCGGCGTCGTCGACGTCTTCTTCCTTCTTGCTCGGTCGATGTCTTCTTTCTTCAAGCACCGCTACTGTGAGGAACTACCACCGCTACCATAGTCGCCAAACACCAACAGCTTCTCCTCCCGTCTTCGTCTACTTCCTTGTAGCGCTCGTCGCCGCCGTCGTGTTGCTCTCAATCCTCGACAGAAAGGTTTTTTTGAGAGAGAAAATGAAGAAATTGGAGAAGAAAGAGAAAGTAAACAAATGAAATGATGAAGAGAGAAGAGAAGACTGAAGAAAACGAATTTTTGGGCCCCACTTTTCCCTGCAATTGGAGAGTGGGCTTGGGCTAGCAGAGCCGGTCAACCGCTCCTTCTTCTCTTATTCCGGCGCCACTACTCCTCCATCCTCCCATCACACGGCTCGACGACGTGGCTTGCCATCCAGACCTGTTAGTATGTAGTAACAACTTAACCGGTTAGCAAATTAGCTATATAGCATGTTGCGGTGCAAAGCAGGTTAATAAGCCCGACCAGCAAAACCCCAATTCGGACTTCTAACCCTCGCCGCCATTCTGATTGTTTGCTCCTCCGAATCGTCTGATCCTCACCGGACTGCTCGATTGTCTTCGCTTGTGTTGACATCAATTGCCGGTAGCTGCCGTCGCCGGCTGCCCCATAACTCCTAGTCCTAGCCGCAACGCAATCGCGCAAAACCGACGACTGGCTACGGCGAGCAATAGCTTAAAATAACAAAACAAAAGGAAAACACTGTTTGCAGCGTCCACGTTAAACATTAGGCCATGATGACCGCGGTAAATAACGACTCTGCCATCGCCCCCACTTTTCCTCCTGGACTGGATTGACCTGGCAGTTAACAATCTTCGCTCCTCCAAGGCTCTCTTTAGGTGCGGTGATTCGTCCGTTTGATACCGCTTTTCTCTTCGTTGATGCGAGATGGACCAGCAGCAGAGGAGCTCCTCCGGCTACTCCCACAGCCCTCGATCTCCATCCTCGCAACCTTACTTATCAGTTTCCGTCACCGACCCCGTCAAGTTAGGCAATGGCGTTCAGGCTTACATCTCGTATCGAGTCATCACCAAGGTAAATAATCCTCTGGATCCTCGACCAATCTCTTATTGCTATAGGTCCATTCCCGGTAATCGTAGTGGCAGGTTCACGAATTTTAATTTGTGAATCGCTTTCTCTGGAGATCTGGATTAGCGATTTTTGTAGCTTTACCTGCGTTTCATAGATCTCTACGAGTAGCATCGATTCTGTTCGATACAGTGAGCTGATGTTTCGTGGATTAGTTACGAACAACGAGGCTATGCTAACTATTTCTGTTGCGTTTCCTTCATCGTGTTAATTCTGCCAATGACTACAAGTGATGTACATGGTAGAAGACGTTTTAAGCAATTTACGTGTGTAAATTCTAGGGATTTTGATACTGTGGGGCTATTTTTTATTGCAACGATAATTATGATCATAATTAACATCCTGTCAACTTCATTGAACAATTTCTTTCTTCTTCGGCGTCTTGTGGATGATATATGTTTCAAGATATCTGTCTTTGGCATTGTTTCAATGTTCCTTGGCGCATATGGAAAATTAGCCTAATGTGCTGTGTTTCATTCTCCTGGCAGACGAATCTGCCTGACTACCAAGGACCTGAAAAAATTGTCATTCGGCGGTACAGCGATTTTGTATGGTTACATGATCGTCTTTTTGAGAAGTATAAAGGAGTTTTCATTCCTCCTCTACCAGAGAAGAGTGCTGTAGGTAAGAATTCATTAAACTTCTGGTTTCTACACCGTGCTGTCTTTTGTTGTCAAAATTTAAGCTTAATAGCAACTAGTGAGTAAGTGACTGCAACTACATCAGGTTTGTGTTTCAGTTTGTCAACTTTTATTTTTTCCCTTTAAGTTAGTTTTACTGGGAGTGAAACAAGTGATTATATAGATATGTTACTGCAATTGCGTCTTCCTTTTAGGAAAGAGTCTTAGAATGGATCTAGTCCTTGTTCTTTCTATGGTTTATAATTTTCATGCGCTTGTCCTAGTCTCTTCGGGTGAAGGAAATTTATTATCTTTCTATATTGGCACTGAACCCATTTGGGGATGTAGAAGCTTCTTGAATAATATAGCGGATTTTCTAGCACACTGGTTTTAGGTTTCCCAAACTTAGCATGGAAACAGTGGCGATTATCGGGATTATTTATTATTATTTTAGAACTTGGTTATAGAAAGTACTAATGGTAGCACTTATATGACAGAAAAGTTTCGCTTCAGCGCTGAATTTATTGAAATGAGGCGTCAAGCATTGGACGTATTTGTTAACCGGATAGCCTCTCACCAGGAACTTCAGAAAAGTGAGGATCTGAAAACCTTTTTACAGGCAGAGGAAGAGGTGATACTCTATGTTAGTGGGTTATAGACTATTTAGTCTTCTAACAAGACAGTCCAACTTCGTTTATAATGTGTCCAAATCTGAAAATGTGCCAACTAAATTTATTTAAAAGATGTGTACTATTTCAGACAATGGAAAGATTAAGAGCTCACGAGTCGAGTTATTTTAAGAAGAAGCCAGCAGACTTGTTGCAAATATTCAAGGTACGATGAGTTCTTTGTCATCTACTCACACAAATCAGTTGGTGATGAACATGAATATACTTCCAGTGTTTATCGACTAAGGTCCCTGTAAATCTATTTACGGACTACTTAAGTTGACAGGCATGCTGTTGCAGTTGTGTGACTATATTTAATGTTCATTCATCATAATCTGAATGCTTCTGGCTGTGTGCAAATTCTTGTATTGAACCAGTTTAATGAATGTTTGATGCTGGATGATTGTTCTAACTGATTTACAGGATGTGCAATCTAGAGTGAGTGATGTCGTGTTGGGGAAGGAAAAACCAGTTGAAGAATCAAATCCTGACTATGAAAAGCTGAAGCATTACATCTTTGAGCTTGAAAACCACTTGGCTGAGGCTCAAAAACACGCATATCGGCTTGTGAAGCGCCACAGAGGTAAACTTATTAGGTGCACTTGTGTTATGCCACTATTGTAGCAATGCATTTTGATAGCTTCTGATCTGGTATTTCATTGGGAACTGGGAAGTAAGCAATTTGAATTGGATAATTCTCTTTACTCAGAATTGGGACAATCACTATCGGATTTCGGGAAGGCAGCTAAGCTACTTGGTGCTTGCGAAGCAGATGGTCTTGGAAAAGCACTAACTGAGCTTGGGGCTAAATCAGAGACATTATCAATCCGGCTGCAGAAGGAAGTAAGACTTAGAGTTAAGCTTTCGTGTGTTGCTGTGCCCTAAGAATGATGTGTATTCAGATCCATGTCTTCGCAAACTTGCAGGCCCATCAACTCCTAATGAATTTTGAAGAACCTTTGAAAGACTATGTCCGTGCGGTGCAGTCAATAAAGGTGGGTTGCCCATGCAGTTGCACTTCCCTTTTGGTGTCTTTATGCCTGCCTTCAGTCCAATCCATATTCTTCATGGAAACTGATAATCTTAGTGCTTTTGACTTGGACAGGCAACTATTGCTGAAAGAGCCAATGCCTTCAGGCAACAATGTGAACTGGCTGAAACAATGAAGTTGAAGGAGATAAATCTGTATGCGCCCTTTGCTCTCTCTTCGGCCCTTTTTAGCTGGATTAGTTTTATGTGCTTGGGCATAACTTGAAAGGGGTAGTCACACATGTTCTTATAGTGTTCCTCTCTGCACTTTGCAGAGACAAGCTTATGCTGACACGATCCGACAGAGTGGGGGAAGCCGAAATCGAGTACAGAGAGGTGAGCAGTGAACTTGCATCATCTTCCATTTTGAACTCCCTCGAGCGTTTGGGCTTATATCTAACAAAACTCTTAACGTTCCGATTCAGTTGAAGGAAGATAGCGAAGAAGCTGCTAGAAGATTTGAGAGCATTGTCCGACTAATGAATGAAGAGATTGTACGTTTCCAAGATCAGAAGATGATCGACATGGGAAGAGCATTCCATGAATTTGCAAAGGGGCAGGCACGACTTGCTAATAATATTGCAGATGCTTGGCGAAGTCTCCTCCCTAAGCTTGAAGCTTGTTTCACATAGTTGCGAGTGAGCGGGGCAGGAGCAGCAGCAAGACCAGCATCCTGTGTTTAAATTGCTCCATTATGCCTGTAACGTTATTTTTCATTTTGTAACAATTAGTTGGTTTGTTATAACTTTTACTTGTGTATAGAATCTCAACTCTAACCACAACTTAGTTTTAATGAATTGTAGACCATGCATAAAACATTTTTCCTATACTACAGCTTTTCTCCTTGTATTGTGCTCTGTGGATTTTGAGTGTTAATTCCGACTTCCTTTTTCTTCTAATTGTAATGGCAAGACTTGTCTGATTGAGTCATATATATCGATGATAAAGTTTGTACGAAATTGTATGGGTTTAATGCATTGTTATAAGAAGAAAATTCGATCAACGATTTGGCCAGTAGAATGGTTAAATCAGTTATGATAGCGGTTTTCAGTGTTTGAATGGTTATTGATGGACCAAACAATTTTTCACGCTTCAACATAAAACTAGATGAATCACCGCGGTTTAACTAATCAACTAATTAACTATTTTAAGCATAAAAGTTTTTAAAAAATACTTTAACGTAAATTAAAACCATCAAGCCATGATTATTTATTTTATATACGTCTTCTCATTTTTCAATCTTGTTGTCGTTTTTACGTGATCCACTACCAACAGGCACCATAATTTTTAACTTGAATTAAAAAACTTATGATACGGTTTCAATGATTTATTAGATATTTTGGAGATGATATGAATTTAAAATTGTTTATGATCAATAATAACTTCATTGCTAAATTAGTGTAATATACAAGTTTTGTATGTTATAGATTCTATCATCGGTTTACCAACAAGCAGCGGACATTTGGGGTAAGCCAAATCTGCAGCCTCGGCAGTCGCCAAATCTCTCAGAGAGATGGTGGCGCCATTGTGGCTTCCGATGGAGACGGAGAAGACGGGGTGTTGCTGGGTACCTTGAAATTGCCAGGGAATACCGATCTCGACAGATTTGAACTATTGCTCTTCTTCGAGGTCCTCTCCTTCTCTCGCTCGTTGTTGGTTTGTTATTTGTCAATCAGTCACTCGACTAAGCTAAGTTGCGGTTGTTGGCAACAGTTAGTGAGCAGTCTTTTTCAGTGCGCTAATCTGCCTTTTTCATTGCCACTCCGTTTTCCCTAATTAAAATGAAAACGAAGTTGTAGTTTTTTTTTTTGAGACTGCCCTACAGAGTTGCTGGCTAAAACGAAGTTGTAGTTTCCTGAGAAACAAAACATGAAAAAACTTGTTTAACTGAAAATTTTAGTGAGTTTTGAAACGAATTATGAAAATGAAAACCTGTTTAGTTACTTTATATTGTTTTCTGATAGTTGAATATCATGATTTTTTCCATTGAATATCATAGAACTCTAGTTATGATTATTTATATAATTTTTAACACGAAAACTACTCACCATCACAATACAAGAACAAACATCTTATATTCCGGTAGTTGATTACCATCATTTTTTCCATTGAACATAGAACAATTGCACCAAGGGTAAAAATAGCCTAACGGTAAAGCTGTAATTCGGGTCCAATTGTACACATTTTCCCCCTCATTTCTTGATAGTTTGACTTTGCATTTCATCATCCCTCGACATTTTTCACGTTAGGTTATGCTGGTTATGATACATTTAAGGTCCTAGCACGTGTGGAAGGGTCGATGATGAGTTCGGGGTGATTGGAGGTCAAAAAGCGCAAAAACAGAAGAAAAGCCCGTAACCGTGAAGCGCAGGCGTCCAGGAACCAGCCGCAGTTCAAGGTCGTCAGGACCGTGAACTGGAACCACAAGTCGTGAACAGCGGAGCCTCGAGAGGGGCTTCTGAGGTTACAAACGCCAAGGCAGTTCACGGTCGCTAAAATCGTGAACTATAACCACAAACCGTGAACCCCAGGATGTGAAGCGGTGCGTTGTGGTCCAGACACTGTGTTCATATACGCGTTTTGATGTTCACAGCCGTGAACTCAGGTCGTGAACTGGGCGCGATTTCAGTATAAATTGAGAGCTGAAAGGAGGAAGAAAGGGAGTTTTTTGGTAGGTTTTTAGTGTGTAGAATAAAGGAGGGTTTCTAGTGAGAGATTATGGTTTCCTCTTCCTATTCTAGAGAGATAGAGTGCCATTCAAAGGAGGAAAAAGGAGATTTTGGCTTGCCCTAAACTAGGGGAGTGAGGATTCTTACCTCTCAAGGGAGATTCTAGCAAGGAGGAAGGAAGATTGTCATCTCTTCATGGTTCTTTATCTCCTCTTTCTTGTTTTCCTTTGCCTAGCTATGGAATAGCCTACCTATTCACTTGGGTGTTTGTAAACCCTAGGTACAATTATGTGAATGCTTGTATGAATTGAATGATTTGTGTGTGGTTGTGTTTAATGTGAATGTGGAGGTATTATTCATGAATGATTGTGTTGTGTGAAAGCCTATCAATCTAATTGTCATTCTAACCTACATTAGAGAGGAGACCTCCTTAGGTTAAGAGGCTCAATTTGATATGGGTTTTCTTGGAAATTCATGCCTCCTAGGCTAGTTTAGAGAGGAAACCTCCTTTGTTTCCAAAGAGGCTCTATTAGGGTTGGGTTTCCTTGGGCATTCAATGCCTCCTAAGCTAGTTTAGAGAGAACCCTCTTTAACCTAATAGGCTCTATTAGAGATGGGTTTTCTTGGGAATTCTATGCCTCCTATTCTAGGTTAGTTAATGGGCAAACCTCCTCTTTCGTATTAAGCACTCAGGGTTTGGTTGTGGGTGGCCGTCCGAACACTAAATCGAGGGTGAAGTCTAACCATTCCTTAGTCGATAGGTTGAGAGGGTCACATTCGTGGCTTGGATCGTATCCCATTCCTCAACCTAGTGGCTAAGAGGGTAGCTTCGGCTGCTTGTTCGATCCATCAAGTCGTAATTGCTAGCTAGGGGGAGCAACACCTGGGTGAACTCTTATCTCATTGGGACAACCTCAATTTACTTTACTTGCTTGTTTTCATTTCTAGGTTTCTTAGCTTTAAACCAAAAAACGTTTGCTAGATGACAACCTAAGCGATTGAAGTAGGGTTACATGGACTGGCCCGGGTTTGACAATTAAATACTTGTCCTATACTGCACTCGGCTAGAGTTTAAAAACTTGGGCTCTAGTCGGGATTAATTCGTGGTGTAGTTTCGTGTGAGTCAAGCTGCCGCGACAGTGAAAGCTTGGGAGTTGGAGATCCTAGGTTCGATCCAAGCAAGACTCGTTGGTGTTACTAGAGGTATGATCCTGCCAGGGACAAAACCATGTTGGCGTCGAAATAGATTGCAGATGACCCTCAGCTTTAGTAGCCCCCGCTCTCATAAAGTGGCACGTGGGGCTAAACTTCCTAAGTAATAAAAAAGTAAAAAACATCTATACTACTGTTTCATTCTTTGGCGTCTTGTGGGCTAGGACTGAAAGAGCTTATTCATCGGAAGAGCTTCCCCATTCCTGTGCTGCTGTGTGGTCTCAACAATTGCAGGGTGCCCATACTGTCTGTGTCCTCTATCCCATCTCCGTCCTCTCACAACTGCTCCTATTGCAGGGTGTCCATACTTTTTGTGTCCACTATCCCTTCTCCGTCCTCTTGCAACTGCTCCTACACGCCACTGACCATGATTTCCACAGTACCCACCTTACTTCTCTGAATTAAAAGAAGATGTATGTTGCTTTTGTTGCCAAACCTCTTCTTCCACCCATTCATCCAAAAAAGAGACTGATGTTTTTTTGTTTCATGCTCTCCGCCTCATATGGAGCGCCATCGAGGTGGGGGAACGGCGAGGTCCATGATACGACCATCAAAGCAGTCGCAGTCAACCTTCAACAGTCCACCTGAAGTTGGAACCGGCGACACTCCACTCTCCCGGATCGGGGCTGCGAATGCTGCTCTACACAATTGCGGCGCCACCTATCTCCCTCCCAGTTCCCGTCTTCCTCAAGAGGAGCTTTGTTGTCGGTGTAAATGGCCAAGCATGAGCGATCCCGATCTCCCAAATGCAGATGTCCCTATGGATGACTCCGACAAAGATGACAATGATGACGAGAAAATGACCGCGAAGATGACAGAGATGATGATGATGCCGGAGACGCCACTAGTTCGTTTCTCTGGCAGCACTCCACTCTCCCTCCTCGAGGTTCAGAAATAGAAGCTCTGATGTGGAAGGTCACAACGAGGAGAAAAACGTAGACGGCGGCGAAGGTATCGGGATCTATACGGGTTTCACTTCATACTGTCGTATCCCGTTTTGCTTTCATGGACTTTTGTTTCCTCTCTTTTCCATATCTTCGCCGCCAGAGTCTTCAATGGTCTGATGGCTATTTGATGGATTCAGTTGTGGGCGCAGTTGGTTGCTGACCTTCAGTGCGGGACAGACAGAGATGGACAAAAAGGGGGCGACATGCCGAGGGAAAGGCAACAACAGCAAGATTGTACTTTTAATGGCAGCAGCAGCCTGGGTTCTACATCTCAACATCAACTCTCAAGCCTCATTCTGTAAGTGAAGGCTGCACCTTCTCTTTTCTTCCCTCTACCCTCTTTTCAATTTCGATTTGGGTCTTTTTTTTTATCGCTTCAGTGTAACAAAACAGGGGCCTGAAGATGTTGACCAGAACAACTGGCCTACACTATCAAGACCAGAAACGGATTGCTTTCTTATAGATTTCGACTTGAATCAGTGATTAGTATATGTGGGAAGGTAGCAGGAAAGGAAGTTTTGAGCTTTAACGAGTTGTTGATGAATGAGCTGCTGAATTGGAGGATCATTAGTGATGGAATGTCCGACTTGGTTGCTTTCTTATATAGATTTCAGACTCTTGAATAAGTGATTAGTATATGGTGGAAGGTAGCAGAAAAGAAAGTTTTTAGCTTGAACGAGTTGTTGATGAATGAGCTGTTGAAATTGGATGGGATTATTGATGATGAAGATGTCAAATTACAGAGGAAATTGCAGGCAAGAAGTGTTCAGATTGGTTCCAGGAGTCCGGGAACAAGAATGGCTTGAAAAGTGTTAATCTTCTTTTCTTTCCAGATGGATTGAAAGGTGCTTTCTTCTTTACTGATTTTCTTGATATGCTCAGTGATTCTCTTTCTTTTATTGATTTTCTTGATATGGTCAATGATTCATTTAGTATTCACATTCTATGAGACGTAGTGTGCTTGCCTTATCTATTGTTTGTTTCAGTTAAACAAAATTACTATCATTGCTGCTTGGTACGAGGTCCGAGAGGAGTTGTAGGATCTCTTTGTCGTTTAGAGCTTCAGAACCTTTTCCAATTGGATTTGTGATCTCTCATCTCTAGACCTTTCAGATTACATATAAACTAATTATATTTACCATCATTTGCTTTTACAGGTCGGGACCTGTAATATAAGCATGCTTTTGCTGCTGCTGCTACAACGCCATTTCTTCGGAAGGTAATTCATTCACTACACAACCATCTGGGAACTGCAGTGCTACTGCTAGATTCGAGAAACTCGATTCTCCTACATAGTCATTTTATTTTACCTTCTGTTGTGTTGTTATGGGAGGAGGCGTAGAAGTGAAGTACTCATATGGTAAAGGATGATAAGAACAAGAAATACCATAAAGAAACTGGTGTGAACAAGAACATGTTCAGTTGGAAGGTAAAGACATTGTTAATGGTTATAGCAAAGATCAACCTGTTGAATTTTTTGCTTTATCAGTAGAATGTGAACTGAAAGTTTTGCCAACAAGTTCAATTGGAAGGTAAAGACAATATCAACAGCCGATGGGATAGCTTTATCTTGCTGTTCTTCAGTTTCTACATACAATTGAAGACGTGAAAGAACTGGAATCTAGATTCAAAGTTCCCACGAATTACAAATCAAAATCATCATCCACATTCAGGTTGTTATTCCTCATTTTTTTCCACAATACACAAGGGATAATTTGCTTGGCCCGACATGACTAAATCCTCCGCGGCGTAGCCGCGGGTATTGATACTAGTACAACATAACTGCTAAAGCAGGACACAATACTCTTGCTCCCAAGGATTTTGACTAGAAGCTTGAATACATGTTTTCCTCTATACCATGACGATTAATATGTTTGAGAAACAGGGGGTCATGGAGCAAGATTCCAAATCCCAAGTCAGGTCGAGACAAAGGAAGGAAAACTGGAACAAAGGAAACGGAAAAGGGTTGAGCCGAAAAAACCAAAAGGGAAGAAAACAACTTAGAGATGCTAAGAAAAACATAGCAACCCGAGAAATAGAAGAGGCACTCCTGAAAAGAGACTCGACGATAGAGCAACATCCACCCTCTGAGAGGCAAAAAGAAGTGCTCGCCGAATCAAGAAGTGCACCAGATGCCGATTCGCCAGATTAAGCAGGGGACCCTTGAACCTCAAACAGTGAAAGCTGAACCGATCTCGAGGGGAAGAGCCTCGTATTCATCATTCTCAACCATCCTTCTGCCATTTCTCTATCAACTTTCCGAGCAGCCACCAACCAAGAACACACATCACGACCAATTTTATACGCAATATGCCTGGAGGGGGACTCTGTCTCTTTGAAGATTTTGAAGTTTCTCTCCAACCAAACGCTCCAACAAAGGCATGAAGTAACACATTTGAGCACCACTGTCTGGGATCTGTTGGCTTTTGATGCTTTCTCAAATATCTCCAATCCTATTGCTACCATTATCAATGTTGACAAAGAAACAAAGGGTATTCCAAACGTCCGAGTGAAAAATGCAGCCAATGGAAAGATGGTTGCTGGTCTCTTCTTCTTGCCTGCATAGGGCACACCTGCTGGGCAGGTACAGGCCCTTCTTCTTAAGGTTTCGTGAATCAGTATCCGCTTGTGAAACACCAGCCAAAGGAAAGCGCAAATTTTACTTGGAATAAGATGCTTCCAAATCAACTTGTGCGGGAAATCTGCAGAGCCAGGAAATCTCTCCGCAATAAGGTGGTTGTAAGCCGAATGAAACGTGAACCTAGTTGATGGAGAAGGATGCTAGATCAACCCTTCATTTCCTGCAACAAAATCAGACAAAGGGAGGTTTTGCAACAAAGCAAACAATCTCTTTGTCTCACGCTCAGCTCCATTCCGCAGAGAAAATTTAAAGTAACATCCCAAAAAATTATCACACCATCAAGTTTGTAATAGTCAGCGATGCAGGAGCTCGGGAATTCTGTAGCAGTCAATACGCTTGGGATAAAATCTGCAAGGTGTGTACCTTTAATCCAAACATCGAACCAGAAAGAGGTCCAAGAACCACTTCCTTGAGCAATCTGCGCGAGCTTCCAGAATTCACCTTTCAACTTGAGAATTTGAAGCCATGGACTACATCCCACACTCCTCTGGCTATTACCTGAAGTCCACTCTGAAGTCCAACTACGAAATTTGATTGAAATAAGGTCCCTCCACCAACTATGCCGCTCCAGCAAAGCGCCACAACCATTTAAGCAAGAGAGCTTGGTTATGAAGCTCCAGGTCACGGATCCCTAATCCCCCACGATATTTTGCAGTCTTACACATCTCCCAAGAAATCATATGGAACTCATCTTTATCTTGAGATCCTGACCAAAGAAAATCACGATGTATCTTTTCGATTGATTTAGTGACTCCTTTAAGACAAGGAAAGGAGAGCTCATGTGCGTGATCCGACTTGAGAGGACAGCTTTGATCAAGACAATTCTACTGGCCAAAGAGAGGCATCTACCTTTCAAATTTTCCAGCTTGGATTTCGTCTTGCTAATTACTCGGTTGCAGTAGGCAGGGAGGGTGGATGGGCTCCTAGAGGTAGAACAAGATATATCGTTGGGAGAAATTCCCCCTCACCACCAAAGAGCTCCGCCAATATCCCAATATTCAGCACCTCACCAACCGGGAAGATTCGTGTTCACTTTCAATCTGGAGATGGCCTGGAAACAAGCCAAAGCTGCCAAAATGCTTGTCAGTTCCTCTTCATTTGCTTCTCAAAAAATAATAACATCGTCGGCGTAAAGGAGGGGGACACCTCACCACATCGACCAATCTCATCCATACAAAATCTTGAAATAAAACCAGCTCTGCAGACTTCACACACGATAAAAGACAACAAATTCATTCGCGGCCAGATTAAACAGAAAGGTGGATAAGGGGTCCCCTTGCTTGATGCCTCTTTGCATTCCAAAGAATCCAATAGCTTTGCCACTAAATAAGACCAACAATTTAGCAGAAGACATGATACCTTTTAACCATTTTCTGAACCTTTGATGCAACCCCAAACACTCCAAAACAAGAGAACGCAATTCCAGTTTATGGTGTCGAAATCCTTTTTGATGTCAAATTTTATAACTAACCCCGTCTTCCCACTTCTTCTACGGTTGTCGATGACTTAGTTAGCAATGAAGCTGGATTAATGGGACATCTGACCTTTTTCCCCCCAAACTGATGCTTAAAAATAAAAGTGCTCATCAATGAATGTAATCGATTAAAAAGAACTTTAGAGATGATCTTATTGAGGCTTCCGAGTAAGCAGATCGGCCTGAAATCCATAGTTTCCTCCACCGCTTCTCTCTTAAGGATTATACAGACGAAAGAATGAGCAATAAACTTCGGGAGCGTGCCTGTGAGATAGTAATCGTCGAGAGCCTTTAACAGATCAATCTTGATGATACTCCAAGATCTCTTATAAAACTCGAGAGTGAATCCATCGAGACACGATGCTTTATCACAATTGCACTAACAGACGGATTTCCTTATCTCAGTGATGACTCGGTATTTGCACATGTTTTCCCCTTTGTTTCTTGATTGTTTGAGCTTGAATTATTGCTTCTTTGGCCTATTTTATGCTAGGTTGTGTTCCTTTGTCCCATTTCAGGTCCTAGCACATAAAGTGAAGCATAGGCGCAAGTTTCAAGTCAATCAGAGATCAATTGACGATTCGAGAGAAGAAACTCGGGCATGACCTGAAGAAGAATGTATTTTTACCTCACTTTATGGACAAAGAATCATGCAAGCTTGTTATGAAACGAAATAGGACGAGACTACGAGCGTCTGGGATCAAACGGCGACTGATTCGGAGTCCAGACGAGGGAGAAACGAAGCATTAAACAGAGGCTGAGCAAGCCACACGGGCAGAGCAGAAAATCCGCACGGCCGTGCAAGGTGAGATGCACGGCCGTGCGAGTCGTGGCCGTGCAGAAATCACCGAGCCTTCGCACGGGCAACTGGGTGAGCTGCACGGCCGTGCGGCCTGCCCGTGTGGGTCGGGAATTGTTGTTTAAAACCCGATTTTCAGCGAAAGGAAAGGGAGAGAGCTGGGTTTTGGATCCCAAACACCCTAGGGACGAACCAAAGAGAGAGAGAGCGATTTGAGGGCATTCTTGGAGTGGAATTGGAGGATTTCTTTGCCTTGGAAGCTCGAGGAACAAGCCCGGACTTGAAGACTGATCATCTGAAGATTCTTACTGCAGTCTCTCTCTTCTCTATGGAGTAACTTCCCTTCACTTAGGTTTTGAGGAACCCTAGCCATGTTTGTTTGATTGGATGATTGTATGAGTACTCTGACTTGATAATCTTGAGTTCATATTCAATCTATGCATGTTTTCACGATTCAATTCTGCTTTAGTCGAGATTATTGATTCTGCTTTGATCCTATGAGAGCGAATACCTGATTAGGTCAATAGAGCACCATAGATTGATAGTAGTGGATCGATTGCTTTAGTCGA